CCTAAATACTGTTGAGTATTTTCAATTAAACGATAATACAGAGTACTTTAACGATAAATAAATGTAATAGACATTTTACTTATTACACTGAAATCGAATTGTGACACGACAAGTGACAATTAAAAAGAAGTAAATCAGAGTTGAAAAAAGGTTTCATTCAACCAATACACTAAAAAAAACACTACAAGAAGAGCTACTAAATAGCGGCATCTATCGTATATTAATTGAACTAGTAATTTTTTATTGGTAAAACAGCCATCTATTACTGCGCGTTGGCATATATAACAAATATAATACTACTAAAAAGAAAATTAGTCTGTTTCTTATTATCAAAATAGATTTAAGGTGCTCCGTTATATTGCAGTATTTTATCTTCGGATTTCCAAGTTAAATGTACTGAGATTGTGCACCCTGGCAGTGGTTTATTTGAAGTTTGAAGTATGTGAGTGGGCTGTCTGCTGCTATAAAATTGCTCAAAAGACGCAAATAAATAACTGAGATATTAAAACCTAAACATGTTATTTATTTTTCCGTTAATATTTTTTATGGATAGTAAATGTTTTAATCGACATTTGAGCCCAACGTTAATATAACTGTACTACATTTGTGCTCGTCTGTTTTGATGTGCATAAAAATGGCGAGAATTAATAATTCTTTTTTATTGGGTTTACTAATTGCTTCTATAACTTGGACCATATCTTTGTATTTGTACTGGTTGTTGAATCAAAGTGGTAAGTAAGTTCCTTTTACCGGTAACCGTAATGTAACGGTGTAAAATGTAGTATTGCGTTTTATAGAAATTGATGTTTTTTTTATTATTTCGCTTGTACATGCATTCATAAAAAAAAATTAAAAGCACCATTTTGCGCTTCCTATGTTTATGTTTACTTTTTTTAATGTCGTGTAAATGGTTTATTTTAGGCGACACTAATAAGATTATTCAGGAAAATAAAATGCATTATCACTTAGTAAATTCAGCAGAGAAGGACCGTATTAAAAACAATGATAAGTCTATTGCAGCATTAAAAGGTAAAAGTATGCTCTATGATAGCCCTGCAGCCAATAATAAATACTTGGGTAAGATGTGGAAATATCAAAAAAACAATACAGATTACAAACAAAAGCTCATGCAAAAAGAAAAATTTGCTAAACTACTGGGAATGAAGAAAGCTGCTAAACCTGACAAAAGCTTAGGTGAGACGGGCAACACAAAATTGGGTTATTTAATTTGAACAACTATCTCCGTCATCTTAATTATTAATGGACTTAAGTACAGTTAGATTCAGATTTGCCTATTTTTTAAGGATTATTTTTTTAGTCCCAGTTGACATTACATTTTTAATATATTAATGAATAACATTTTATTAGTTGAACATGTTTTTTCCTGTATACTTCATACTTTATTTTGTAAAATCATCGTCATATTTGAAAGTATTCTAGTAATATGCTGTAACATTACTGTATGCTCAACATTGTGTAGACATTACATAATTTCATAATGTTTATTAAAGATATAGTAAATATTTTATATAACTAATTAAAGCTCATTGGCTTTCTACTCATTCCCTTGGATGTTTAGATATTTAATAATGCCTACATCTAGAATTTTCAAAATGTATCGTAACAAACATAACTCTCTTTAGTAAAGTCATAAGACAAGGCTGGTGATGCTCTCAGCAATTAAGTTTGCAACAAATTTAATTGATAAAATGGGGTTGGATGGTCAGTTCTGGCAGAAAACATTAGCTGTATTGCCATAATCAATGTCATAGGTATATGATACAAGAAACAATTACCACTTTACTTTAAATTTGAAAATTATTCAGTCAAGTAGAAAATATCCAATAGTAAAGGGGAAAAAATTTTTTAATAGATAAGGGGAGCGAAGTAACAGTTGATCACCTAATATTAAATGATACCCACAAACATCTGGCAAAGGCAATGCAAATGTGCTGCGAATCTATAAGGGCATAGTATTGTTCAATTAAACATTTGTTTAATATCAAATCTAATTCATTTAAGTATACTAGAAATTTTATTTTATCAAATTATGTAAAGGTTAACTTACATAGTGACGCATTGAAAGAGATGCAAGCAAGATGTTTGTAGCTAGCAAAGTTATATAGAATAGCTGTTACTTTTCGTTTTGTTCATTTTTGAATTGGAGTTTGGTACAGATGTTAATAGTTGCTATTTCTGCTTCAGTAAATGTAGAGATGCATGAAATAAATGCTAGTTTATGTTTTTTTGAATACATTTTTACATTTTATTTATTTACTTGTATAGATGATTTAATAATATTTTGCAGAAAATCAGTATGGACTCATTAGAAATGCTGAAGATGTGATATTAAGGGAAGAGGGTTACAATCTGCATGCATTTAATGCACTTATTTCCCAGAGGATCGGAAACCATAGGATAATACCTGACACCAGAAACAAAATGTATGTATAGTGAAAATTATACCTAAATTATATATTTGTAAGTTTCTGTTCCCGATAAACATGAAAAAATATATTGTATTCTATTGTTAAAGCAAATTGATAGCATAACAACAAGTTGATTTATATTTAGAAAATGGAATATCAATGTGTACATATGAAAATATATGTTTTTTTTTTATTCATGAGACAATAAATATAAAATAAATATGTTATTGCAAATAATATTTATATTAATTTATTAATTAACAAATATAGTTGATGATCAAACAAACAGGAATGATGAGTTAAAAGTTGAGTGTAATAAAAATAGTACTAATGTTTATTTTCACTCAACATTTATTTACAATAACATAACTAACACTTCGACATTAACTTGAAGGTGCCGAGTCATAAAATATGAGAAGAAATTGCCAAAAGCATCAATAATTATCTGCTTTTACAATGAACATTTTGAAACCCTAATGAGATCAATTCATTCAATATTGGACCGCACTGACTTGAGGTATATGAAGGAGATAATTTTAGTGGATGACTACAGTGATTTAGATGGATTACATGAGAATGTTAAGAATGCTGTAGATGATCTCAATAGTATGCTGAAAAAGGAAGAAGAAATGTTGGAGACAAATAAAATTGAGATAGATGTAATGGATTATTTTAATGACGACGATGAAAAGTCTACAGAGAAAACATCAAAGTCTAAAATTGGCATTAATATACGGCTATTGAGAACAAGTAAAAGGGAAGGTTTGATCCGGGCAAGGTTGTATGGAGCTGATAATGCAGTTGGCGAGGTAAATGTCGAATTTTTTACTATTAGCCTCCACTTTGCTTTAAAAAATGGATTTCCGGTTAATGTAATTTTGTTAATTCATGTATTAGTATCTTGGCAGTAAATTTCATCATTTTTCATGTGTGACCGCTTCTCGTAACTTGATGTGTTCTACATATTTGTAATGAAATATTGTTTTCCTCAGGTTTTGGTGTTTCTGGATTCTCATATAGAGGTTAATGTGGATTGGCTGCGTCCTTTGCTGGGACGTCTTTCGGAGGGTGTAGATGGCGTCAATGTGCGGTATTCACATCGGGCCCTAGCCCCTGTAATAGATGTCATTAACTCAGACACATTTGATTATTCTACAAGTCCTTTAGTAAGAGGTGGTTTTAATTGGGGACTTCATTTCAAATGGGACAGTTTACCCAAAGGATCTATGAAAGGTAAGATATTTATTATATAACTATCTTTCGCCCGCCACTCCGTCCGCATGCAATTATAACTAAAGTGAGTAGTCTAAGTGTTCTTCCAGACTATCCTCTACATCTACACCAAATTTTAATCCATATCCTTTCAGTTGTTAAGGCAAACTCTAATAAACATCCATCCATCCATCTAAACTTTCGCATTTATAATATTAGTATGATTATTAAGAAATCCGGTCAGCATTGCAACCGTTTTTATATATTTTTTTTAATTACAATTTCACTATTCTATTTATTGTTTCTGATTGTGTTGTAGTTTTGTTAAGGATTCGCTGTTAATTTACTTTTTTAAAAAAAATCATATACTTATATCATAATTACTTAAATAGTGGTAAATGGGTGAGCAGGCATCTGATATTATTTGTTCGGATTATTTCTTTTCCTGATTACATCTGTTTATATATTACTTCAGTAGTGAAGTCTCTTTACTACATCTTTGGTTACAGAATTTATGGATTTGGTGAAACCGATCAAAACACCCACAATAGCAGGCGGTTTGTTTGCTATATATCGTGAATATTTCAATTTCATTGGCAAATATGACGCCGGTATGAACGTGTGGGGTGGAGAGAACTTGGAATTATCTTTCAGGGTATGTACATATGTTACAGAAAGCTTTATTTGTTAAAAACCTGTATGTTTATGTTTTGACACCCCTATCTTTACCGTGAATCCACTCCAAGATACATGTCTTTTCTGCAAATCGAATAGCCTCAATTAATAATTATTCTTGCTTATGTGTGTTTTATATGTTTTTCAGATATGGATGTGCGGTGGTATGTTAGAGCTAATACCTTGTAGTCGAGTTGGTCACGTGTTCCGGAAAAGAAGACCTTATGGTATGAACGAGAAAGAAGATTTTATGGCGCGCAACTCTATGCGCATGGCCCGGGTATGGATGGATGAATATGTGGTAAGTCCAGGTTTATTATAAAGCGAAACTGTGTATGTTAGAAGATATCTCCTAAACTACTCAACAGGTCTCGCTAAGATTTGGCATAGATGTAGAATTTAGTCTGGAAGAACACACAAGCTACTAATTGAGTTTGTTTTTAATACCGCGCGGACGGAGTTGTGGGCAAACATTTTGTCCTAAAAAAAGAATCCTTCTTGCTGTTTGTTCCTATCAAACTTCTGAATGTCTATTTTTCTATACATTTGTTGCATAAATGATTTTTAGATGTCTTATTGTATTTAAGTAAATTTAATTTGAGAATTTCCATTTATGTAATCAGATTCATGGTTTTTCATCCTAAGGGCCTATCCTACATCTGGCTGATAGAGGCTCAGATAGCTTAAAAGTGACGTCACTGTCAGATACCGTACGACAATCCAATACTTCTACCACATATTTTATATGTTAGATTATTATTTGACAATTTTGTAGAATTGTGGGTCAGGACCTAAGTGTAACTGGTCGGACATTTTAAAAGGTTGTTTTTTTTTCTAGGCAAAAGTGATTGAGATAAATCCATCAGCAGCTCGTGTTGACATTGGGGATATATCAGAAAGGAAAGAGTTGAGGAAACGTCTCAAGTGTAAAACATTCAGATGGTATTTAGAGAATGTTTACCCTGAATTAGAGATGAGTGAAGATTCTTTACTCAAGAAACGTATGGCCATTCTTAATGATCCCGAGAGGCATAAGTTCCAGCCGTGGCACTCCAGGTATTTTTTTATTTCATATGTTTCCGTCATTTTATTTATTGCCAATACAACTATGGCAACAATGTAACAAGAAGGTAGTTATGAATGTGGAGGGGTACATCTGTAGAGGTAGAGGTAGAGGTAGAAAGAGATGGATGTATTGCGTGAAAGGTGACATGATCAAGAAGGGAGTGATGATTGAGGTGACGGATGATAGAGTGCTTTGGAGGACGAAAACCCTAGGGGAGTAGGGATGATGATGACAACTATAAAAAAAATATCTTACTAATATTATAAATGCAAAAATTTAGATGGATGGAAGTAAGAGTTTGTAGCCTAAACGGCTGAATGGATCTCACTTAAATTTGGTATAGATGTAGAGGATAGTCTGGAAGAACACATAGGCTACTTACTTTTGTTTTTTTTAATGCCAAGCAAACGTAGTCGCGGGCGAAAGCTAGTTCTTTTTTTAGAAAAGATAAATAGACGGATGATTATTGTTTTGTTCAATAGTCAGCAGTGGATATATACATATAATTGAATGCACTTAAATTAAATTACTTGAGTAATACATAATTGTTGATTATTTTCAGGAAGCGTAATTACACGGATTCTTATCAAATTCGCCTTAAAGGTTCGACCTTATGCGTCCAAAGCGCTAAGGACATCAAGACTAAAGGCAGCCGATTGGTGCTCGCTAAATGCAGGAGAGGCATACAGCAGGTAAATGAACAATAATTATAATTAAAACACATTCAGCCGTTTAGACTACAAATACCAACAAACATCCATCCACCTAAATTATCGCATTTATAACAAAATAAGATAAGTGGACCGACATCAAGTCATGGGCTTGTGACATGCATTTTGATATATTTTTTTTGTATATTTTAGATATGGTATGAGACTGATCGTCATGAGTTGGTACTCAGTGGGACACTTTGCTTGGACGCTGTTAACACCATGGCTCCGATACTGGGCAAATGTCACGAACTTGGCGGAACTCAGGAATGGAAACACAAGGGAGAGGTAAATATTGAAATTAATACCGTCAATACGGCAGCCAAAAATCTATTTCGTTATTATTTAAAAAGTAATTACGATACAATACAAGCTTTTACCCTTGACTCCGTCCGCGTGGAATTTAAAACAAAAGTGAGTAGCCTATCCTCTACATCTATACCAAATTTCAATCCAATCCTTTCAGCCGTTTAGGTTCCAAACTCAAATAAACATCCATCCATCCAAACTTTCGCATTTATAATTTTAGTATGAAGTCTGATTTACAATAATTGAATGGTTATATCTAATACAACTCCATCTTTTTTTAATTATATCAATACATACAAAAATACTTTCCTCTTTATATTAGTATAGAACTAAAGTTAATTATAACATACATTTTTTATGTTATTTCAGGCTGGAAGTCCTATTTACAACACTGCTGTAGGTATGTGTTTGGGCGTAGAGCGGGCTTACCTTCGGGAGCCATTGGTTATGGTCATATGTGACAACCAAGATACCAATCAATGGGATTTCTATCGCTCTTAAATCATAATACTCATAAAAGGTACTGGTAGATATAAGTATTCATATAATCATATAGTCATATTACTACTATTTAAGACTTTCTCACACTTTATGTAAAATAGTGACGGATTTAACAGATAACTTTATCAATCTACAAGGATCTTGAGGCATCTTTTTGACATTGACAGGTGACTGTTTTTAGAGTTGCCAGTAAGAAAATAATTCCCAAATTCTTTCGATAATCTCCCCAGTTTAGAACAAAACCAAACTATATGACGACTTTTTACCTGATCCCCCTCTTTAATCACTAAGTATCATGTGGTATAAAAAAGTATAAGCTTTTACTATCCAGAATTAACAATAAGTTAGCATCATGGTCATGACTTCTCAGTAAATAACTACATAGGTCAGTTCATATGACCTTTTTAAGGAATCTCGAAATTATAAAAATGGCAACATTCATCAATGCAGTTGCCACTCTCTCCTTGGTCAAAAATAACGCTTTTCAGATGACATTGTTAGTTAATAAAATTGCTAACTGACAAATGATCCTTGTAGATCCAATTCAATTCAAATAATTATTAGTTTTCTCGATTAAACTGTAACATTCTATTTACCGCCCATCAAATCCGTCAGTTTTCAACTCATTTATTCAAATGTGATAAAAATTATTTTCTTTATATCGAGATTATTCTCCGATCATGGTTAAAGTCTCAAAAATGTTTCGATATATTTTTTTATTTTTATATATTGACTGATTACAAAAAATCAATTATAAAAGGCATGAATCTCATGTGATTTTTTACGTAAATTATTTTTCATTTTATTTTAATTTTATTCGTTACAAATGTTTTTTAACTTTGAATATTAAGTAGTATTTTTATTATTGTTATGAGACATTATTTTTTCTGTATATTTCTCCCCGTGATTATTTTTTATAAATGTACCTTTTAGAAACTATTTTAAAACGATGGATTGTGCTTTGAGTTGTGACAATTATGAAAATTGTTGTGAAAATTACTATTATTTTTTTTATTATTACGATGTAAAATAAAATCTAGTGAAAAAAGGTATAATCCGACAAATTTATCTGGCATGGTAAGAGTTGCGCTGCCATCACGATATAAAAAAAAACTTGCCGTACTGTATTATCAGCGCCAGATCAGTTTGCCCATAATCAATATTTTCATGTAAAATTGTACATAGTTTTAAGTTTTCATTCGATCTCCTTGCAGAATCTTGATTAGTTGACTTTGATAATGTTTTGACTGATACTCTAAATCGTCTCTTTGCTCTCTGCATTCCAATCTTCAATTAAAAGCACATAAAGACAAAAATACATTAAAGTTGACATTATGCATTACATGAATAAATGTAATCTAATACCATCTTGCTTTTATGACTGCTTTATTAATACTTTTTACATAATATATATAAATTATTTGACGACCTCACATTTTACGTTCTTGTTTTCTTCATGTCACATCTTGCACTTGTTTTACACTTCAAATCGTACTTTACTTTTTATTACATTTATCTTTGTCGGTGGCCAGTGTTAACAATATAATCCAAAGAGTCAATAGACTGACCAGTACATGACCACGACTATCTCTCTCTCTCTCGCTGTCTCTTTCTCTCCTGAATCGTTTCCTTATCCCTCATATTTGAGGATTCTCAAAGGACGTTTCTTCACTACATGACTCTCTGAGATGTGGATAGCGTTTAGGCAAAGACCACAAATAATCGCCAAAAAAAATTTTCAATAAAATCTATTATGAAGATTGCCATATAAATATAAGTTTCAACTAACGCACAATGTTGTCAACAAGGACGAAATTATTCGTATTTTAATTGTATTAAATTGCATACGATGTAGACAATAACGTTATGCACTAGAAGATCACGAATCGTTTGCATGTCAATAATTGAATACGTCACTTCACTGACATTACACAGATATAGTTTGTAATAGCCTGACTGAGAATATAAACTCTCGCTATTGCAGAAAAATATAGTACTAGGTAATTCATTTACAAAGATTAAAAATTGATGAAATAAAGCAACCTATTCCAGGATTATTATATTCTTATTTAGGCTATAATAAAACTAAAATGCATCTTGATTTTTTTAATTATTTTTTAACACTATGTTGTATTTTTAAATAGATTTATGATTATTTTAGTTGATAGATTCTTATTGCTTTTTAAATTTCTTGTAAATTGTTTTTTTTATTTGTATATTTTTTTTTTACTTTAAGCATTATGTTCCTTATTTTAAGGTGTTATGTATATTTTGAATTTTATTGTATATGAGCAAGCGTATTATTTAGCAATCACAAGTTCTGAAGACAGAGAATTTCTGCAGAAAACATTCCGTTATATTTATTAAGCGATTTTTTGTTAGGTTTATTTAGTACCTAATTTTAAATATTTTAATAAGTGATATTGGTATGATATAGTATTTTGATTAGATTTTTGACTCATTACAATTTATTACTAAGAATAAGTATATCTTAAGTGATTGTATGCGATTCTTTATACTTGGTTATTTTTTAATTACCAGAAAAAACCGGTAAGGTAGAATAATTGTACGATATTAAATATATCGTTTTTATTCGCATTTTTACAGTGTGCGCGCTTGCATACTCTTGTACATTTTTCTACCAAAAATTAAATTTTTGGTAGGATTTTTTTTTTCATAAATGTGATCAGTATCGGCGATAGGTAACACTATGTCTTTCTGGTAAATAAATAAATACCCTATATAAGTGTAGTTGTATTTGATATTCTTAAGAAAAATTAAGAAGAATAACGAATTGGTTTATTTTTAATTTCTTAGCATAATTTTTTTTCAACTATTTGTATTAATTTTTATAAGTTCGGTAGACTCTTTGAAATTGTTTTGTTTACAAAACTGAGAACAACAGTTTAACTGTTAAAATATGGGCTACTCACATCAGTTTAACTGTACAGTTTGACTTCAGTTATAATTGAACGTGTGTAGTGGAATTAAGTAGACGATGTCGTGGGTTTCCACTGACAATATGCGTATGTAAAATGATAATTTTATCTCGTTAAATCTCAGTGTATAACTTTTTGTTAGTTATGTTTTTTCTTACGTATTAATTGTGTTTTCCGAACAAAAGAAACTTATGATCATCACAATGCTTTGTAGTCAGTTTTTGTTCAGAAGTGGTCTTCAGTGTTCTCATACTCATACATTAAAAAGACCACTTAAAGACTTAAAGACCACCGTTTGAGTGTGGCAGTAACATTTGTTAATTCACTATAAATTAAGCGATTTTTCTCCATATATAAACAGAAGCTGTAATTCCGGCTAGTCATATTAAGACTATCGTGTAGATCCATAGAATAGGTATATTATCCCAGTATAGATGACATAGTTTACAATAGGTGTTCGACTTGGCTTTTGAGCGAGGTATAAGTTTGGCGTCGTGTGTGATTTTCAAATATATTGAAGGCTCGGAACATCACGGTTGTCTGCAGAACACAAGTGTAGCGACAGTTTACAGGAAGACATGGGAGCCGACAAAAACATTGAAACGCACTACAAAAAATAACTAATAGCATTTTCATATGCTACAAAGAAATATAGAAGTAAATTCTAATTTTACCGAATAGGTTTTTTTTGTTGTTTTTTTTTTCGACAAAATGTTAGGAAAAAATAGTTTCATCGTTGGTTTTCCGAATTAATTTTGAGTAAAGATTACTATGTTAAAATTAAATTTCTACCGTATATTGCTTTCAAATAGTGTCAAAACTACAATTATCTATCGCTCAAAAAACCATGTCGTCTAAAAATAATCTTATAGTACATAATATTTACAGTAATTAGTTTATTCATATAATCGTAATCATACCAATTATTTCATCACAATGTCTAGGTTAACCGATTTCTTTAAAAGCTAAGAGCGAGCAAACACCTTTGAATAAACTATCGCACGACTGTTGCACGATTGTCGATTGTTTCGCAGCCAATTAAACTGTTTAGTTGCACAATTAAAAATGTAGTGTGCGCACCTCCATATAAGCTCACATGAATCAAAGCGAGATAGTTGTGAGATGTTTAATCAAAGGTAAGCACGCTCTAAGTGGTCAGGGATTTCATTCCTTTGTTTAGGCAGCTTTTGTTGTTTTTATGTTTAAATTTTTTAATTGATGTTGCATATTATAATAAATGAATATACTGTAGAATTCTGTTTTTTCATTGTTGATATAATTTTAATATATCCAATCAAATTAGTACAACACTAGTCCATTTGATATCTAGAAAAAGGGTTTATAAAGTTTTGACTAGGATGTACACGCGAACTTGCGTTGGCTATCGATAACAACACACGGTCGTAATATAAATACATGTGAGCATAACAAGCAAACTAGGCTGACTGAAATAAACTATTATGTAGATGTTGTTTTCATTTACCGATCAATGCTTTCAGCAATTGTTATTTTTGATATTGCCAAGCGAAAAATGTTGGCTCAGCTGTGTGCTCTGCTTTCGAGCCTTAATTTACTTAGTATTATGATGCGAAGCCAATGCGAGTTTTTCGACTCGGGAGATTGTTTCTGTGGCGAATAAAAATTATGACCCCTTTAAGTGTATACCATATGCAGTGCGATTAAAAAATGAGGTAAGTTGTTACTGTACGTAACACTAAAGGCCTGTCCTACCGAATTGTAAATTGTCTGATAACAATCCCACTTATAATATATGCGATGGAAATATCAGATTTTGTTACTTTATCTGACTGACGTCATTTTTAAGCTATCTGAACCTCTACCATTCACTGGTGGGATAGGCCCTAACTCTACAAAGTAACACTGCTGCTATATTAAAAAGAGGTAAGTATTGGAACAAGCTGCAGGCGTCAGTTATTCCATTCGAGTATAAGGTGTGCATCTTCAAAAGCAAATAGACGTTTACCAAGCTAGCTCTATCTTTCCATGACATCAATTAACGTCAGCAGAGATCATGGTATTTAAAAAAATTAAAGTAGGCCTCCGTTAGGGACGAGAAAGCTGAGGAGATCGATTAAAAGAGTCGTAAGTATTATGATCACCAGCTCACTATACGTCCCCACTGAGGAGCTCAGATTCTACCCTAAGCTAGGGTTGCTAAGCCTTAGTCAATACTGGCACAGTGCGAGTTGGTTGACTTCACACAGTTAGAATTTCTTTTCCGATATGTTTAGGTTGCACGATGTTTTCCTTCTCCGCAAGAACGTCAGGTAAACATACGAAATTCAAAAACCACATCGGTACATGGCGGGATTCGAACCCACGACCTGTAGCTAACAAGTCTAATGCTTAAACACTGAGTCATCGACGTATTGTTATATATATACTTGCTTTGACCGCGGGGAATTTAAAAACAGTGAGTAGCCTGCGTAATCTAGACTATCCTCTACATCTTGTTCAAATATCATCGAAATCCGTTCAGCAGTTTAGGCTACAAACTCCAACAGACATCCGTCTAAACTTTCGCATTTATAATATTAGTAAGATTATAAAGTGGAGAAAAAGGTTCAGGGTTTGTAAGTATTATGAGCCTTTCAATAAGAAGCGATACAAAATCAACGACTGTGGAGGCCACAATATATTATCTTGGTTTAGGTTTAAAGACTTCTATTATCAGAAATTCAATGTATTATTCTTAGCCAATCATTATTATTCTTAGTCCTATATCTTTTCTATTCCTTTCTCTTATCCCTACTTCGCTCTATTTTATCCATTTCTTACTTTCCTTAAAAATAATGTGTTTTGGTAGAGTAGGTTTAAAAATAAAACAACACTTTATTGACATATATTCAACATTTATTTAACATTTAAAATTACATAAAAAGGAGGCATTTTTGCCTTAAAAGTCTTCCATTATTTAGTGTTCCTACAGAATTGATTTCATTTTAAGAGCGTGAAGTTTCTACACAATCAAGATAGACACCAATCTAAAAAGTACAATTAAATAAGCGCATTAGAAAATGACACAGAAAGGTTTGATTAATAATCATTTACTGCATATTAGTCTCGAAAAGATAAAATGAGAAAACCTTTCAGTGTTTATTTTCAAGACATTGGTTAGCAACTAATTGTATTTCTGGTTTTTATCATTGAAGACATCACGACAAGATTACATCGAATTGATCTATTACAGCAAGTAAGTTAACAGATATTTATAGACACATAGAACACTGAAAACATCAATAATGTAATCACAATACTATGGGTAGGGATCAAAAGCCACTTACAATAGACTTGATTAAGTATAATCAAACAATTATACACGCAATATATTAAAAGACTTAATTTAAAAGTAAATAATATAAATATATAATATAATAATGAGATATTTTGTAATGGATATGTTTTGAAAGTTAAATATGGCCGTTCACAGATATGGTAAATTTAAAATTCTACTAAATAATTATATACTACATATAGAAAGTAACAAAAATTTAATTATTATCAAACACAAAGTTCTATTGTCTATAAACTATATATGACTAAATAAAAGATCACAGCTAGTTTATAGATAATTTTATGAAATTTTATACAACATTCTTACAAATTTTCCATAACTGGACCTTACTTTTCGCTAATATAATTTTCTTGACCTGACAAGATGTTATTGTTAGTGATGTACTGACTATTTTGGATGGTGTTAGAGATATCGATATTTTATAGCATTTAAAGTCATTTTATCGTATGTACGTTAGAAATATGTTATGATCGAATACGCGAATCATTGGTCCCAACACTCAGTAAGCGGCCTTTCGCAGATAATACGCATAACGTTGAATCTCCACTGACGTAGCACCCGTATTACAATGTTGCCATCCCTCTCATTCTCTTTGAAAATAACAGTGATAGTAATAGTGTTAAAAAAAGTGCCACGATATTTGAAATTCACGTTTAAAGATGTTAAATAGTATTTTTGCGATAGACCTTTCCTTTCTAATTACATGCCAATTTTTAAATCAATAGAAATATAATTAATACATAAAAATAAATAATAACATTATAAGTATTTTGACACAGGTTTTGATAAGTAAATATAAATATATGATATGAAGTAATGGTAGAAAGATCGTATGCCCTATACAATTACACCAATAGCAAAAAGGAGGACACATGAAAACATATATCGACATTGATTGACATGCATATTTTGTAATCTACAGGACGTTAGATCAAAATTACGCTATGTAAAGGTACTATAATTTATTAATATGAATAACTTAGTATACGTAAACACTTAGATATGCTGCACTCTTGGCTAAATCCCATTCATAATACGTAAATTTAAAAGTTACATAAATTTAATAATTATAATGATTCTAATACATCGTTGAGTTTATAAAGTAACAAATACATTAAATGTCGTCTTATTTAGATTTTATTAACGACTTATGGGATATTTGACATACAGATTATTTTTATTTTAACATACGTGCAACCCAACTATTGACGAACTGCAGATAGATAGGAAAACTTTTACATAAATTTTCAATAACATTCGTTGTACGGAACCCACGATTTTTATCAATGTTTCAATGTATGCTCTAATTTTATACTTTAAAATACAATAATTAATGTTTACATGATATTACATTATGATGATTAACACTAATTTCTAACTCTATAAAATGAAATACATTCTTGCAGGGACGAGCCTAACCTAGGTTACCTGTTTTCCTTCAATTTCATTTAGTTCTAATTATGGTTATATGTAGATATACAAAGAGCCAGTGGAGTTAGATTGATGTTAGCACGATGCTTCTAGATTATACTTATATTAAAATTAATATTACCTAATTTATAAAATCACGGCCTAACTCACCTGTAGTAAATACCAACTGGTCAATTACGCCGTATTTTACATTAGCATAGAATGATGTAAGTTTTATTAAACTAGAGATTATTTTAAATTTAAATATTACTTATATTAAAACTTAAAAATATAATTATTCTAAGTAATTAGTTATGTATATTAGTTATGTTCATATTACTCGTAAAATATTCACAAGAAATACGCCGGCTCTGATTTTACTCCTCTACTTCCTTACTATTGTACGATTAAATTATACAAAAAATAATCTGACTATTTTAGTAATATATGTACAAGAGATCCAGAAAATTAATCCAAATGTTAACTGAAGAGTTATGAGCTAAGAAATAAAACTTTATCTAACCAAAACAATAAAGACACTTATTAGCTAAAGATTATATCTAATTTTCAATCACTTTCACACATTCATACATTTTTTTTCCAACTAAGTACGTGCCTTTAAATTTTATTCCCGATCACTAGTTAAAATTCCAATCAAAACTTCGTTTACAGTACTTCAATCAAACCAAAATTTATTTTAATTTTTTTTATACATTCATCAACAATCACACTTTCCTTAATTCTATAGGCAATTAATTTGCCATCGTACAAGACTAACTAAATATATTAGAGTGGTAATTTATTTATATTGCAATTGTCATTTTTTTGACGTTATTAGATGTAAATGTCCCTTTTCGTATCTCACTCTTAACGGGTGTGTTATCTTATTACTAAAATCCTATTCTACATTATATCATTTACTCGAATCCTTAATTGTACTATTTACAGTTGGCAGCTAATTTGCCTATTACTAAATAAACAGATTTCGGGTGGGATCAGCTTCCCTACTCTTTAACTAATTTGAATTTTCCTAGCAATCTTTGGCTATTTACTAAGTGATTATGGATAAACTGTTTGGGATCATATTCCTTAAACTTGCTGCATATTTTCAGTTATAACTGGACAATTGAAATGTGCAGTTACTGCGAGCATAGGCAAAACTTTAACTACATATTAATTGATAGTTAAAATTTTATCTACCTACACATAATGTATAACTGTACAATTCGATTGTTCAATTAGATAGACGAGTAGTTTACTTTAAAACGATATTGCATTGTGTATTCCACAGTTGTTTTGATTATTGGTCCTAGTCATATAAATGATCGTAATTTAGTTAAAATTTCGTTAGAGAACAAGGAGGCTTATTTCGCAGTACTTATTGATAGATTTGGGGATGAGATCTTTTGTCCCTGTTTGTATCACCCTACATCTGTTGCAGACATAATAATAAACGTGGTAAGACACAGTTGTGGACCTACAGTCATCAATATGTACAATTTCCACTAAATCATCCCTTTATTATGCAGTATCCGTTTTTCTAACGATATTCTAATATTCTAATGAGACGATGAAACGCAAAGATAAATCTCAACCAGCATCAATCTACGAATGATTTGACTAATTACATCTAAAATTACAAACTAACACACACCTGTCATCCATCCCAGTTACACAACATAATGATAAATTTAATGAGATGGTAATCTAATTAAACACTGCATAACAATAAGGTGTCGTGTAATGCCACATTTATTCTTAAGTCCCAAAACTACGTTTATTACATATCTAATTAAAAACTATTAATGCTTTGTTCGCGGTACACGCAGGATTTTGTTAAAAATTTAAAAATAAACATCATAACGAACTGAAAATTATCCTATCTTACGCTATAGCATCGTGCATTGAGATTGTCTCGAAATCTGAATCGCGACATGACTTCTGATGGCAAACGTCATTTTTATTGATGTTATTGGATAAGATGTAATTATCCCTAATCGTATTTCAACGGTTGTGTTATCCTAATCCTACCACACATCATCTCCTACACTATCATTTATATTAATCCTTAATTTTACTATTTACAGTTGGCAGCTAATTTGCCTATATACAACACTAATTAAACAGATTTCGGGTGGGATCAGCTTCCCTATTCTTTAATAAAATTCGAGTTGCCAAGCGATCTTCGACTAGTTCAAAGTGTTTATACATAAACTGACTGATATTAGTGTCCTTGTCACGTAAAGCCCGCTTTATACATCGTAAGTTTTAACTAGACAGTCGAACTGTATGGTCGAATGTGTGCGTGTGTAATCTAAATGTAGCAGTAATTGATAGTTTTGGATTTGATGCTTTATAATAAGATGTCTTTTTATTTGCAATACACATGCTCCCCATATGGTTCAACTCAACTTGCTTTTTGAATCTATTTATTTAAAAGTGATGGTCTTCAATTACTATTTTTATTACATTATAAGAGCAGGGTGCAAACTGTCGGCAGAAACATCGAGAATTTCATCGACGCACATGGATATCTGTAATAGCAGAAGAACTGCAGATGGCTTGCCGGCCTTTGAGAACGTGATATGCTCGCTTTTGTAAGATTCAAAGTTGTAGCGGTTTGGAAATACCGCCAACGACAGACCATTCCAAAACGTGGCTGTGTGAGGTAGAAAGTTTCGCGAAAACCACACAGTTGAGGATTGCCAGCCATCGAGATGGTGTGGATGGTACCGGCGGTCTGTCAAATCGTTTGATGTTTGGACTTGGCGGCAGGAATTGTTCCAAACAATTCTTCAAAGCACTCTCCGTGGTAGATGCGGTAAAAATGCAGAGGAAACTTACGTCCCTCCAGAAGGACAGTGTGTTATGCCGATAAATAAGACCTCGATCGTTGTCTATTCGAATCACTCACAGTTGTACGTGGTCAAGGGAAGAAGTTGGTATTTGGTGGCACTAGCCCAGTGATGCAAGCAGTATTCCATGTGGGGCCGAACTTGCGCTTTATACAGGGTGATTCTTAACGGACGGATCAATGTTTTTGTGGAGGTAGAAGACCTCAATAGCTATCGTTAAAGCGCAAAGTATATCGACCGATTTACTTATAAAGTATATACTTTTAAAATTATCTAATTTTTAGTAAAAAAAATCGTAAAAGTCAGATTTCCGAAGAATATTGTGAATTCATTATTTTGGACGTACAGACAGATATTAGGCGGAAATCTGATTTATACGATTTTTTTACTAAAAAATAGTTAACTTTAAAACTATGGAAAATCGGGCAATGTACTTTGAACTTACACGATAGCTTTCGAGGTCCTCTAACTCCACAAAACCGTTGATCCGTCCGTTAAAAAACATCCTGTATAAAGCTGAATGCGGAGGCGGACTAGAAATACTGCTTCGTTCTGCTAAACACACCCAGTATTTTGGAAGCCAGTTTGGCCTTGCTTTCAAAGTGACCGCGAAACTAAACGTCATTTGATACGTCAACGCCGAGATTACTGATACTGGCGGAGGCAACCAAGAGAGTGCTCTCGTAGCAAAGATCTACGACAAAGTGTTGTTTTTCACTAACACTTCTAAAAAATAGTGAACAATTTTTGAATTACAGATAAAACGGAATTAATGTTTTTAAATATAACTGTATCCTTTTTTTCAAAATCTGAGTACTATTTCCAGTAATTGTTGGTGGGGAGGGAGTTTAAAATACTAGTACACTTAGTTGATACTGTGTGCTACTTGTCCGCATGTGTGGTTGGTTCTGTCACTATAATATCAATGCTTATTACATTTACCTCAGACAAAACTTTAATTGTGCATTATAAGTTTGGCTACGCACGCACTTAACAATTTAACTTTACAGTTAAAACATAGGTTGCGTACCGGGCTTTACAACGCTATACTATTACGTTTTTCGCAGTTGTCATAAATGTCAGTGATGATTTCTCCTAGTAATATAAATGATCGTATTTTAGTTGGCAATTAAAATTTCATTAGAAAACAAGGAGGCTGATTTCGCAGTACTTATTGATAGATTTGGGGATGAGATATTTTTGTCCCTGTTTGTATCACCCTACATCTGTTGCAGACATAATAATAAACGTGGTAAGACACAGTTGTGAACTTACAGTCATCAATTCAACCGTAATCTTATGTGCAATTTCCACTAAATCCTCCCTTTATTATGCAGTATCCGTTTTTCTAACGATATTCTAATATTCTAATGAGACGATGAAACGCAAAGATAAATCTCAACCAGCATCAATCTACGAATGATTTGACTAATTACATCTAAGATTACAAACTAACACACACCTGTCATCCATCCCAGTTACACAACATAATAATAAATATAATGAGATGGTAATCTAATCAAACACTGCATAATAATAAGGTGTCGTGTAATGCCACATTAATTCTTAAGTCCCAAAACTACATTAATTATTATATATTTCTTAATTCTAATTATTGCAATGCGAGAATACACGCGAGATGCAAAAAATGTGGGAAATAAACACCATAATGAACTGAAAAATTACCCTAGACTACTCTACGCTACCTATCTACCACCCTACGCTATACTTCTGATGGTAAAAGTCATTTATTTGATGTTATTGGATAAGATGTAATTATCCCTGTTCGTATTTCACTCTTGCCGTATGTTATCCTTACCATCACTATTCCAAGCACATCTTATATCATACACTCAAACCCTTAACTCTTATTTACAGTTGGCAACTAATTTGCCTATATACAACACTAATAAACAGACTTGTATGGTGGGATCAGGTCCGTTATAATTTACATAAAGTTGCCAATCTTAGACTAATGTTCTCAAACTGACTGGGATTAGTGCTCTAGTCGCCTAAGGCTCGTTATACACGTTCAGTTTTAACTCAACAGTCGAACTGAACAGTTAAAATTGAGTGAGTTTATGAAGAAGTCATGTCGCACCTACATTTTTATTCTTATCAGATTTGTTGGAAGTGAGACTATCTTCATTCGAAAGTTTGAATAATTCGAAATCTTAACTTTATCCACTGGCTCATAGAAGAGGATGTTTATTCTTCTGAAAATGCTATGTTTTGCAGTTAATTCTACATTCTATATTTTAAAGATTAAATATTTATCACCCCATCTCTTAGGCAAGTCCCAGTACAATTACCTATTACTATTATCATTGAAGCATTGCATATTTGCAGTATGAGTATAGTAATGTAATTATTGTAATTGCAGCTGTGAAACGTATGGGATTATTCATTAGAAGCCGATGAATCAGGCGAGGTGTTAGGGGGATTTTTAATAATATTTACAAACATAATATTTAAATATAAATATATACTAGCGATAGGGATCAAAAATAGAAATACATATATACAGAAGTAATTCGGTAATTTGGATCATAATTATCAGTTCACACGACTGATGATCGTCTTTAGCAAACAAACACTCCGCAAAGTTGTCCAAAACTTCACTCAAAATATCCTTTTAACTCATCTGTCATGTGATCCGATATAAAAAATCATGATCGAAGAAAATAATAAGCCTATATCGATCGCCGCAGAGGGTAAAACTAATCTCTTAAAGTATATCTTAACATTTAAAAGAGGGTAAAAAAATAGGATTAGATTTTGGATATACAATTTGTAAAATGTTAGCACACTACTTTAACAAATCGTTTATCAACAAACAATGTACACCGGTGACAAGCTACTATAGTCAGTCCATGAGAATAACACCAATGTGACAAACGTTGAAAAATCAGTATCCTAGCATTTCACGGTAATAGACATTATTTTAACTAACGAATGTACCTGCGTCGATTAAAGTAGGATCCAACAAAGAAGGAATGCTACTTGGGGGTGGCAGTAATAGAGATAGAGGGCGCTAGCTAGACAGCGCTAGGGAGAGGTATGAAGCCATACATATTATCATTACGTCTATTAATATATTGACAAAAGATTTGACAGAACACGGGCTAACCTCCGAATAGCAATCACATTCCATTCCAAAGTCCATCTATCTAAATTTCCAATCTATGCATATGCATTAAAGCTACCTAAAAAGGCCACTCGGAGGTTTCACCGCCCGTGTAAGAAGTATTGGTTTCCCATTATATTAAGGTGAAGATACGTACTTTTGATATGATAGACTAAACTAAGCGTGATTTAATACGTTAAAATGATCGTATGATATATCAATGACATGTATCTTATAATAATACCATTTAAAATACTGATTAAGTAGAGTTAGGCCAACACTAGAGAAAAATCAACTAAAGCTAAACTTACATACTAATACAAAAAGCTCTTACAAGTTCGTTGATTTTATCTAGTATTGGCGAATATAATAATTCTAAAACGATACAATCAAAGAACTAAGTCCCATATTTTTGATACGTTTTAAAATATCTTCAATGGATATTATCCTTTACTTATATGTCGTAAATATCGTATAGCCGTGTTTTATAATACAAGTCTCATTCGATTAAAATCAAAACGGAAATATTGATTGAAACCACATGTTGACCAAAGATACAAAAAAAACTAAAGTCATTAATGTGGTTCCTAAGTATCGTAAAATGTAATCGCGTATAACGATTTTCAAATTTCAAATCCATAAAGAATGAAGATGTCAATTCAAGGAATAAAAGGTGGCTTACAGCCGTTGGTCATACGTTCGAGGAAGCGATGTAGGTCGTAGAAGCGCGGGCGCTGTTCAGGTTCACGACGCCAGCACTCGTGCATGAGGTCGTAGAGCTCTCGGCGGCAACGCGGCGGCGGCGCGGCCGGCACCCGGGCACCGCGACCGCCTCGACGCCACTCGTTCGCGTTTGCTATAACCTACAACAATCATAATCACGTATTAATTACACCGATTATACTCTCACAAGACGTACATAGCTTTGTAGCTTGTTATATTTTAAAGAGTGGATGGTAGAAATACCCGCTATATTTATTGTTAAATTTTAAATGATCGTATACGTCTATTAACAAACGTCTTGTACTTGAAATCAACAATTATATGAATAAAAAACTAGTACGTAGAGTAGTTTAGTAATATAAATAAAACAATGTGAGTAAAATGTAACTCACCTGGTTGTCATTCATTTCGTCGAAGGGCTTGACGAGGCAATAAGTTAATATTTCCCAGACTGTTACGCCGAATGACCACACATCGCTTGATGGAGCATAAACGCCCTAGAACAATGCAAGGAAATTAGAATTATTTTTAGTTAAATACAATATCGATATTATATCACAAATTACATCGTTTTCCCTGCGAAAATCTGTCAAGTATTCTAGACTGCAGAAAGTAAAATCTGAAAAATTATTTATTACTAGCTTTGGCCCGCGACTCCGTTTGCGTGGAAGTAGAAAAAACAAAAGTGTGTAACCCTATTTGTCTTCCAGACCATCCTCTACGTCTATGCCAAATTTCATCGAGATCCGTTCAGCCGTTTAGGCTACAAACTCTAACAAACATCCATTCATCAATCTAAACTTTCACATTTATAATATTAAGTAAGAATAACATTGGTAAGATTAGTATGATTATCTGTCGTACAAAAGTAATACTCACCATAAGCAAGCTTTCCCAAGCCATCCAACGTAAGGGGAAGCGGCAACCGTCAGCCATGATATGGTAATCAGTCACAAATTCTTCACAGAACATTGCGTAGTCAGATATCTTGATGTTAAGTTCTTCAGTCGCTGTTATATTCCTGTAAAATACCACATAGCGTTACGAAAAATTACATAGACATTGCTTAATATCCAATTTATGATTAACAAACTAATTTAAACTTTTAATCTCCGTTTTGTATTTTGGGTCTCCAATTTTGATCAAATTATGTTAGCTATCCATGGAAAGCTTAATAACATAAAAGGCAATGATGGTGAACTGCTAATGATTTTTCTTTAATGCAACATCGAAAACATGCAATTTTAGAACGACGTAATATTTATTTGTTAACGTCGAGATTATCTGATCTGTAAATGTTATTGGTTGTGTTGTTTGTCAAAATAAGTTAGATTAGTTTGACAATTTAGTAGAGATGGGTTGTATAAACTCAGGCATGAATCTTTCTTTTTTCGGATTTATCCTTATAGAAGTCGGAATCGACAGATTCATAGTAATATCGTATGAATTAAAAAAGAACACTGTTTTCTCAAATTAATAATGACCTGCAGAAACCTTACAAATAATAAGTGTAAATTTCAATTTCAATTTCAATTTCAAATAAATATTTATTATTACTACATCCGTACGTAATCGAATTGGATTTCGCTATTATCATTGTCATCGCTAAATTCTTTACAGTATAATCAATATTAGAATTGTCCTCTAAACAAGTTAATAAGAAAATAATAATTTTAGTTATGTTCGACAATATTTTTTTGGAATATCGATAATTTATAAATGTTCGCTAAATGTGTTTGTTTCGTCACCTGCCTATTAAGTACGGCATTTACCTTCATACAAAATTTAATTCGATACTTCATATGCATCACTTATCAAACTAATCTATTTTATTTAGACAATCTATAATTGTCAAATGCGATGTTGTCTTCCATTCGTGAATGGTTGACTGTAAGATGAAGTGAGGAGACTTTTAATTGTCAAATACGATGTTCTGTCTTCTATTCGTGAATGGGTGACTGGGTTTTATCTATCCTGGTTGGTATTACGCGATGGTGGTAGAACTCACCGTGCAGCTAGGTCTCGGTGTGTTAATTCGAACGATTCCAGATACTTCATGCCGGCTGCTATCTGACAGCATATGTGAGTCAAACTGGAGTAACTGAAACGTGTTCCGATAATTAAAACTAATTCAAACTAGGCAACTAAGACTACTAGAAAACCACCTCACTACTAACTTGAAAAATATGTAACTACTTAAAATAAACAAAAATTTTGTCGAACTCTGGTCTTTAATGTAATTTATCACGCTTACTATATGATCAAAACCGATTAGATAAATTGGAATGATTAAAATATCACTTTGTCTCACACTTTCCTCTTTATTTTAATTCTGAATTATTAAAATGAACTTCTACCAGTGTGAGACTATTATATTAGAGTATTGTTAAACGGGACGCTTGAGTGTCAGGTCTCGCTTTATAATAAGTAGTTTTTTACTTATTATTATCACAACTATTATGTATTCTGTGCGCACTATTTGTGAATGTAGTTTTTTTATTACACTTCATTTTTCGGGTCCTTGTATATGAGTCAAATTAGATAAAAAAAAAGGAATTTTAATATCACTTTTCTTGTCTAAGTGCTAATGTATTATTCACAGTTCTTTTTTTTACAGATGACATAATTTGTGATGTGCAAGTGTGCAGCAATATTGGTAGATAAGTATTTTGGTTTAAGCAAAAAGCAATGAAAAACAAACATGCATATTTGTAACTGATCTTTAACTCTATCTATACACTTCTGAACGAAACAAAATGTATTCTGCGCTCACACACGCATAGGGATGGTTTAAATTAAAAATTGAATTCGGTAGATGACGCTGGCATTGACTTTCCGGAGTTTGTATTGCTGAAAATGTAAAAGAACAACAGAAAAATCGTAAACAAAAGCCGCTAATAAATGCCTTCATGCAAGAGAATTTCTGGGGATCCACTAGTGCTTAAATCATACACTTACTTCAACTTTTGGTTCGTTTTCAGAATCGTCGGAAGGGGAGCAGCATCGCCGCGATCGAGGGCTGCGCATGGGGGCTCTAGCAGGCTTAAACCTAACACCCTCGCGAGTTGAGGATGCTTGAGCCCTGCGCCCCAAGTAGCTTCGCGGGCGAACGCCGCTCTACCACACACATAATCAGCTGTTCATTTGATGTACAGACTCCTACTGCTACTTTAGCCTATATATTAAGTCTATTAGTCTACTAGGTACACGTCGGAGCGGTCACGGTTGCCAACAATAGTATCCTTACTTGATATCGTTATGGCACCCGCGCCACAGCGTCTTGACAACAACACGCCGTCGGCGGCGGCCGCCATTGCTCGGGCACTCTTCGTCGCTGAGTTCTTCGATGCCGTCGGTGTCGCATATCTGGAGCTGTTGATAATATACGCCTTTTAGTTATATACACTTTATTTCACTTGGTATGTTCGAGTTGTACACTTCTAATCGGCCACCGTAGTTACCGCTGGATCTATAAGACAGACCTATGAGATATCTTTGTCCACGATTCGGTTGAGGTAGTACGGGACCGGAAATTGTAAATATAGAGGTATGATTAGTTGTTGGAGGCACTTTGGGCTGCACTACCCTAGTTTCTACATGATAATATATCATAGAAGTGTTATGGCATGTAGTGAAGTGAGGTAGGATACTTCGATCCATCTTCGGTCTACATACAGAGTGTTTCAGGAGGTTTTGACGCTTGTTTTTAGTTTACAAGGAAAGTGTTCAGCCATCACGTTTTCCTCAATACGAAAGTTTGATTTGTCAAGAATCACATAGACTATGAAATTATCACTTGATACTAAAACTCAATTAATATAATGAACTTTAAAATGCCCGTCATTGTTTTTCTGTTCTTCTTTATTGAACAAAACATGTGAATTTCTTAATTGCAAGTAGTTTTATAAAACTCCTTAATTGTGTTTGCCAGGCTTAAAGAGAGCAATGTATAGTAAACGTTTTTAAAAAGAAAATAATGGTTTTTGAAAAATTTACATTTTATTCCGCGGCACGCGTAAGGATTCCGGCGAAATAGTTCTTAAGCACGTAAATAGTAAGCGAGAAAGGAAAAAAATCCTGTACATTTCGTAAAAGCCTACTTTGGCCCAGTTTCTAAGTTTACCGAGCGTGCAAAATGGCTTTGCGCCTTGCGGATTTACAGACCTTGAGAATAAGCCAACTTTACAGTAAAGGTGGGTTGAGTCGCGAACGCTTATGTTCTCAGAAGGTTCGTTACTGTAAAAGGAAATTTACGTCGAGTAACATTTCAGCTGAGATTCCGGCTATTGTGTCATCTTGACTTTTATGTTTTACTGCGTAATGAAAAAAAATTAAATGAAGGGAAAGTTATGGAAATAATAAGTCTTTAGTGTGTAGACTTCTTCACAACAATACTTTCGGCGTTTTATTTCCAACTTGTCTAAAATAATTTTCTAGACTTCTTCTGGAACCGATACTTTAATTTATCTCTATTCTCTCCGAGGAATTATTAAGAAGATTCAAATATTCTCTTTTCAAGTATTAAAAATTTCAATTCAAAGGGGAATGTTAAAATGCCTATATTTTCTAGAGTATGTTGGGAATATCTTGGAACAAAGTTATGCAAAGAAGCAAAGAGCTTGCTTGTACTCTTTGTCATGAAAACTAGGTCTGATAATGCGATGTGTTGGAAGGCTCATTTACACGCAGAAAAAATATAACTTCTTCCTTTCAACACGTGCCGCTTTTAAAGCAAAGTTATCTTTTTTTGCACGAGTTAAGTAGATGAAGAATTTATTAATAAATAAAATAAATAAAAAGGAGGAGAATTTATTAAAGTACATAAATAAACTTAGCAGTAATTTATTAGGTTGAAAATAATGAATTAAATATTCTTAATTCAATAAATGAGATCTAAAGATAGATTGATACTAAACCATGGCTGTAAAAGTTTTTAAACCATACTAATATTATAAATGCGAAAGATTAGATGGATGAATAGATGTTAGATAGAGTTTGTAACCTAAACAGCTGATTGCATTTCGGTGACATCTGACATAGATGTAGATGATAGTTTGGAAGAACACAGAGGCTACTCGCATTTGTTCTTTTTTTAATCTACGCGGACGGAGTCACGGGCTTAATCTAGTATTAACTAATTCTAATGCATTGGATCTGTTTTGGCACCATATAAAATGTGAAGTACAATTAAATTTGTTTAATTTCGCGAAAGCTCAAAAGTAGCTCCTTAAAAGATCATCTTGATTTTTTGCTCAATTTTAATTGTCACTTTAACCTGCCCTTAGTGTTGGTTTGTTATACTATATCTATTAAGCGATTAGATTGTCTGCGACCAGTTAACTATGAGAGTTGCAGTTATTTAAAAAGATTGAGTAAAAGTTGGTGAAGTTAATAAAGTAAAATAATATAAAAGGGAAAACCGCAAATCACAAAAAATCCGGTAACTAATGGAATTAAAGTATTATTTGTTCAGGTGTCTTGTAGGTGTGTGGTTCGAGCAAACAACTTGAACAAAGTTGGGTCGCCGTATCGCTGCTACTCGCTACAGATAACTGCTCGCATCTAAACTTTGTTATTAACAAAGCATACTTTCCTTTTGTATTGATATTTAGTTTCCAAAACAATGTTTAGACTAGCTTTCGCCCGCGACTTCGTCAACATGGAATTTAAAAAAAACGGAAGTGATTAGCCTATGTGTTCTTCCTGATTATTCTTTACATCTATACCGAATTTCATCAAAATCCGTTCAGCCCTTTAGGCTACAAACTCTAACAATCATCAATTCAGCTAAACTTTCGCATTTATAATACTAGTATGATAAAATCAAAACTGATATATTTACCACAGTGAACTTATCTATAGATGTTCAAAAAACTACGTCGAACCGTTTATTTATCTTTGTCTTCTGCAATTAATTTCCAGTGAACATTGTGTTCTGAAGCTTCATCAAAATAATTAATAAAGACTTTGTGCGATAAATTGGTATTGACTCGTTCATTCGCACAATGAAAATATTTGTCGTGTTGTTAAAAAAATGTAGGCGTCAAAGTTTTAAGTGAGCAAATTATTTTTGAAATTCGTTCGCAATTCAGATGTGAAATTCGATGGCGCATTTTACGAGTTGACATGTCGTATCTGTTGTGTGAAAATATTATTACTGAGTTGAATATTACATTATAAATTCAATACCAGAAGTTTTAAATATATTTTTTTGTTTGTACTGTTTGAAAAATCTTTAATATACTAACCTATAATGTCCCAAATAACTAAAGTCACTATTTATTTTTACACGTCGAAATAAACTTAAACTAGATAAGTAGTTCTATCATCTAGTATATAATAATAGATTTTAAATCCAGTGTACAGAGATCCAATTTCTTTAAAGTTAATTTAAAAATTATACAAGCAAAATATTTTAGTCCGTAATGGTTAGGGTATCGCACCGTCAATGTGCAGGGTGTGGGGCCAAAGGGGGTTTAGCCGGCGGCCGGTAGATTGCATTTCCTTGCTACAGTCGCTAATCAATTTTTATGGCCATTTTTGCAAACCGGTTTACCCTCTCTAGACACAGTTCCACACGAGGGTAGTACGATGACACAGAGTAGTATGAGAGACTAGCAATGCTATTATACGTACCTCTACAAAGACAGTAGGTCAAATTTAAATTCAAATTAGCGATAATGCTAATGAAAACGACAAAACTCTCAAAGCCTATAGAAAAAACATGTACTGTTTCAAGTATTGAACTATTAGTACTGAACTATCTACTGCTCTATATCACTGTTCTGCACTAGTGTGAACAAAGCATAAGAGAGGGCAAGTGGTGTGAAAACTTACCGACAGGGCAATACTTAAATGGTGTAACGGTGAGCTAATGACCTCACTGAAATTAGGTATCCACAGTACACGTTATTAAAATTTAATTTTAATTAATTACTAATTTATATTGGATTTACGTGGATATTCAATTAAAGATAATAAAAAAAAAAAACTAGAAAACATAGGATGTTTAATCAATATTAGATTTTGGAAGTTATTATTTATATAATTAATATGGTAATATATGTTTTCTAATTGTGATGACCTTATGAGGTGAGCCTAATTATTTCTCTAATGGACAATCTGCTAATTGAAATTAATTCAATAGGATTAGAGATAATGCAACGTTAATTAATTCTCAAAGTAATAGGATCGTAAGCAATGCAATAATCTCGTAGTTAACGCTTCATTACTTACATTTATAAATTTAAAGAGCATAGTAAGTTTCCATTGCTGAAATTATGTATAAAAATATATGAAATATTCTTATTGCCCTCAGTAATTATTTATTTAGCAATTAAGAGTTTTTAGGCAATATATTAACGGAAACGAATTGCATATGTTATTGGAATTACAAAAAAAAAATCATTTCAGATTTTCAAGAATAATTAATTCTCGATAATTGTCCTTGATATTTTATTTGCTTACGTTCCATTTCGAGCACCAGATGTTTCATGTATTACTTATTGTAAAGTTTCTTTGCATAGAAACGTGAGAAATAACGATTGTAGTTTTTGAAATGCCACCCTCGAACGCCCTAGGGGTGACAGCGAAACTGCATCCGAATAACGAGAATTGGACTCGTCTAAGGAATACAACGGCCACTTGTGACTGAAGCACATCACTCGTCTAGCGCCTCCGTCAACTTAACATGTAACTTAAATATAAATATAGCTTTGAGTGGAAACCCTAATTTTCAAAGGATAGGTGAAAGGTACTTACGGTCATTAATGCTGGGTTGCTGAGATTTCTTTTTATTTTCTTATTATTTAGTGATTTGTTATTGTTAGGTTGAAGTATGTCTCAACTCGGAAACGCATTTTATGAAGTCATAGAACCAAAACAATTAATGAATAGTTAAAAGTAATTAGCTGGGAAACTGGTCATAGATGTAACAGTTTTCAGAGTCAATCTGGCCATGGTTTATTAATTGCTTTCAAGTATTAAACTATTGTTAAATCAGAAAAGTACTCGTAGTAATGTTAATAAAAATGCATTGTATTAAATAGCTCGATATTTAATAAAACCAATGATTCTCAACGCTCAGGATTACGGAGATTGTAAGAAAGTAATAAAGCGTAACTTACGACCTTTGCAAGTAATAAACTGGGGGAGTTTTAATAATGGGTGTGTGATAACGCCGCTATTCGCCTCCGTTTGGAATCCCCTCACTTTTAACGAAAGTATTTAAAAATTCCATTTGGCTGTCAATTTGCCGGGTGCTATTTCACACCGGCCCTCAACGCGATGTATGCTTTTTCATTTATATTTAACGTATCGTTTCATTAGAATAAATATTCATGAGAATTGTGCTTGAATAAACAGAGCTGTTAGAAGCGGTCGTGTTCTGGGGAAACGTTTTTATGAATATCATAAATATCGAAAAATAAATGTTTCAAGGAAATTAAATGTGATTTTTTACTCAATATATTGTAATAACATTTTACCTTTATTTTAATTACTGTAAAGGTGTAGCTACGAAGAAATAGTACTTAAGAATTACTAAGAAAATCTTTTTAATACATTTTCTTCCTCCAAAAAAAAATATTTGCTTACATTATCATTATATTATGAAGGGGAAGAAAGTTTAGATGAATTAATAGATTTTGTTATTTGGCAACTCAAGAATGGGTGAACTTATCAGAATGAAACAAGGAACATAGATAACAATCTGGACTACCGCGTGGACTCACTAGTCATGTTCATAAATGCAGTTTTTTTTTTATAACATAAGGTGGCAAACGAGCAAGAGGTCACCTGAATCCACTGAAATGGAAAGGGACCTTTGCCCATAAACTTCCGCAATTGCAGATGCGTTGCCTACCCTTAATTGACGGGGGAGGAGACGCACATAAAAAGGACATTTACTTTGCTATGCGTCTTCTTAACCGTTAAATTTTCCTTCCCATCCTTTCCTCTTAAAAATGGGTGGAAAGGGAAAGGGACTAGAATTAGGCCTCCGCAGGTGCACAAAGTCAGGGGCAAAAACAAGTAGTCATATAAATTAATAACAAATAATGAAACTTCCACTTGTCTGTCAAAGAGGAAAGGTTACACAAGAGAAAAGGCACAGTTGCGACCGACATTGTTCCGCCCAGAGCGACACGCGTCCAAAAATGTTCTCCCCACCCCATCGTGCCCGCACCAACATCAAACCTTCGTAATAAATATTGTTTGAACTTTAATAAAGCTTTGTTATAAATTTTAATTATTTTACATTTGAAATTCCATGTCACATTAAATTAATATTAACTGAATATTTGCTTAATCATGGTATGCAACTTACATGACTGTTTTAGTTTTTGTTTCTTTGGTAAAAAATATTAGGTTTTTTAAATTGCAAAAGGTTATCTCGTGTCAAGATTAGTTACCATTTTTTTTATTCATAATTAGGTTAATAGTTTAACAGACATTTAAATGATGTATGTCACAATTTATCACGAAGAGGAAGAGAATAATAACATGTTTTCCTACAATTTCCAATAAGGTATTCTTTTGTTTTCATTACAATGTGAATAGTAGTCAATCAAGTTCAAGTTTTATTCCACTCGAACGCCACACGTTATTCACTTGACTGGAACCCAGTGACAAGATTGAGGCGTTCCATGAAACCTTCTTATGTTAGTTTCACACGAGGGTAGAAGAGTGATGCATTTGTAGTACAGAACAGTACGTACTGCTATTGTTTGAACCTATATGCTGAGACAGAGTAGTACAGTTTTGTCAAAAAGTGTGCCTTCGAACTACATTCAAAGTATTACATTGTGTACTGTTCCACCCTCGTGCAAAATAGCATTATTCACGCGATCGGAGCGTGTTGACAAGACGGCGCCGTCCCGAACACGTTACTTTATAGGTAAAGTATTTCAATTCATAAATTTGAATAATTGGTATTGGTCTGATATTATGTTGATTTTAATGGTCGCTACTTTTATGTGTTTATTTGGAGATCAAATTTTACAATTATTACGATATTAAGAGTGTGACAAAATCCAGATTCTTTTTGTTAGACATCTATTGCGCAAAATACAACGCCACTTTATTTAGTAGTCGATGTTAGTTTACAAAATAAACAGTAAATATTCAAAGTAAATTCAATTTAGAGCATTTATGTCTATCCTAATTAGATCTGTTGCTTACGAACAGTTTGTGGTGGAGTTGGCAAACAGTGGCGCGTGTCATTGTTGTATTTTAATTAAGAAAGAACAAACATAGAGAATTTAGTTGAGTGTGGCAACCTGGGCAAACTTTGCCTGCTCGCTTGATGTGCCCGTTTATCTTTAAACTGTTGTTTGTTTAAACAGCAAAAAATTGTATCGCTAAGACAGTGATGTACGACTTGAATTTATTTATTAAGTTACGGCGTCTCTACTAATGTTATGAAGGCGACGGATTTGTAATTTTATACGTTAGAAAGAATAAACTCAAACATTAAAGGTTCGATTTCTAATACTTGTTTACCATTATACTGTTTTGTTATCCAGGCATAATACTTGGGATTAATAAGCTATCGTAATTTTCGTTATCTATAAGTAAAATGTTTTAAAAATAGATATCCATCCGTCTAAAATGTTTAAATGGTACATAATACGTATTCAGAGTAGATAATAAATGACAGCATGAAAACTTTTTCATGCGCTGCCACAAATTCGTGAAATAAAACAATAATTTTAAACTAAAAGTGACAGTAAATTTGTGTTCAAATCGAAATCAAATAATTAAAATTTTTTGCAAAAGCCGTCCAACACAAAAATGTTTTTATAGATTATTACAATAGAAACAAAAAAAGATATATAATGGAAGAGTTTTTCGATAAAATAAAAAAGAAGCTCTCTGTGGACAACATTCTCGATCTTATGAAAGATGGGAAATTTAAAGATGAGATAAAGCAAACTTTAACGGGTAAGAGAAGCGATATAAGAAACCTTTTTGTAGTTGATAGATCAATTTCAAGTTTATTATGAACACCGGTTATTAAGTATACATTAAGTTTGAAGTTTGGTTTGAAGTTTGCATATCATGTTTACAAGCTTGAAACTATATTGAGTGATGGTAGGTTCATTTAATACTTATTTTCTTACAGCGTTATTGACTGGTTTACTTTATTTTGTCAAAAGTTTAGTCAAATTTGACTTGTGTTTTGAAACAGATTATAAAATAGGTGTTGAACTTTCATTAAATCATTGTAATGAACAACTTTTTGTTACAGCTACAATAAATTTAAATGAAATACCTAAGCAAGAAGAGGTACGGTCTGCGGATGTATCTAAGAATATGACAATGGATCCCGTAAATCAAATCACTGTGGAAAATATACAGCACACGACACTAGAAGATCCAGGTAAGCAAATTAAAGATTAATCTAAATAGACAGCCGGAGTTGAAAGTTGTCTTATCTTACTAATGTTATAAATGCAAAAGTTTAGACGGATGGAATGCATCTTGTTAGAGTTTGTGGCCTAAACTGCTGAATGAATCTAGATGCAAGTTTTAGTCGAAGATGATAGCCTTGAAGAACTCATAGGCTTATTACTTTTGATGTTTTGTTTAATTCCACATAAATTGAGGGCGAAAGCGTGTCTACTAATAAAATAGCTTTATATTCTTTAAGATATGGTACTATGCTACAATGTTCAGGGAAACCTATAGGCTCCAAGTTATTTGAACTATAATTAAAATCTACTTAGTTTTAATTTTGATAGAAATGACACATTTCGTAAAAATCGTTTAAATTTCAGCACCGCTCACGTTAAATGAACATCATAATTTGACAGAAGAAAATGACATACAAAATAAGCCTTCGGGAACTAATTTTCAAGCAGGTGAAACGACAAAACTTTACGTATTAACGTAAACATACCTTGTATGTAAATCAGAGATGGTAGTTATTATTTAACTATAGATATTATATCATTGGAGTGCCTGTATTTACATATTACTATCGGAAGGAAAATTCCAGATTTTGCGATGATGTATTTGCGTTGCTTATAACGAAAATCGCATTTAAAAATTTCTTTGCATGTCCGTCCTCGTTTGTTCCGGGTAATCTCCGAAACGACTGCAACGATTTCGACGGGACTCTCACTGGAGTAGCTGACAGGAACGTGCATATTATAGACTACTTTTTTATTCCGTACTAACGAAGTCTGCAGACGACAGCTCGTTTTAAGAGATATTTCTTTAAATTATGTATGCATATACAACTAAAAACGTAAAATATCAGCCGATTTCAATTTTTTCAGCAATCGTCGAGTTAAATGAAACAATTAATTTATTAGATGTAAAAGAAATAAAGAAAAAAGCCTCGAAACCAAATTTGATGAGACCTGAGGCAACTGAAGAAACTAGTACAGGTCGAAGACTGGAGTCAACTGCTACAGGTTCGCTAGAGGGAGCACCAGAACATGACAAGAGTACTATTAAAGTGCTGCAAAAACCTCTTACAATGCCATCTCAAACGGAACAAGTGGAATCGAAAACTCAGTTTGAAGACTTTTTAAATTTAACTTAGAATTTTATCTAACTATTTTCAGAAATAAACCGGACTTGGTACAAAGTTGTTTTGTATTTAGTATCAAAGTTTTCTTAGGATATTTTCATATTTTCTTTAACCAGACATGTGGAACGGAGTAGTTAGTAACTTTTTAATGAAAATTTAATCAATTGGATTTTTACGAAAATCTTATAAAAGCAAAACCCGAAAACTACTTTCACATTTCTGATGCTTATAATTGTAGAATCATTTTCATGTTAAAACGTTTATTCTGGAGTTGGTTTAGAGTATTGAGAGATATATGACGGGGTTACCATGGGTACTAGTGATTAAGGATTATGAGTGTTGTCACAAGTTGTACTTACGTTCCCGTGAAGGCTCTCGCCGAGGAAAGTAACCGGTCGCATGCGCCCCCGCGGGAAATCCAGCAGGGGCGCCACCCCGTTTGGGGGCTCGGCTTCAGGGAGTTTGATTGAGGTGAAGAGACCCGGGATGGGTCTTTCACGGCGCCGGTAGCGCTCTTCCGGGTATGCCTGTTAACAAAAAACCACAAAGTGAGCTTACACTGTTGACAGACTAGCAGATGTTTACTATAAATGTTCCGGCAATGGAATTTGTAGGCACACTATGTGAATATTGTCATTCATCATGTAATTGACAGATTCTAGAGTATAACGTTATTATTTTATAGCGTCAAAATTATTGTTTATTGTTTATTCATAATAATTAAGATGGATTATTGTCGGAGCAGGCGCGATACTATAATTGAGAATGAAATAAAGTTCAGCCTGTCGATAGTGTCAAGGCTCGATCACATATCCATTAGTCAATTACGTTTCATCAAAATGTGAGTTAATTTCGCGAGCCGTGTATCGATCATATCTCGCTACGGTATTTGTCGTTAATAACGACGATGGTGTATTTTGTGTAGCAGTAAATAATCTAGGGTCTCACTTAATTGCTATTCCCCCTAACCAAGATTGTGCTCGTATAATTTATGAGCCTCGATGACTTATTGGTGTGGCGTTGCAGAGTTTCGATATTAGTGAACTGAAACCGTTAACCATCACTCGATAGTATTTCGAATAGACGAACTTTTAGCTTTCATACTAGAACTTAGATTCTCATCGACTAGTCAACGTTAAAATAAAATCTTATTTGTTTAAGACGATATATCCCCTTTTAAACAATCCGTCCATACTCTCTTCGGTCTTCCTCTATCTTCGGTGCCATATCCAATCTTAATACTTCTTATGTGGGCTTTGTGTCCTCGCATACTATGTCCATATCACGCAAACGTTTTGCCTGCCAATTTACTGTATTGTTTTTTTTGATCTTCTGATGATGAATAATATATGTAAATACGCAGATAGAAGGACAGAAATACACTTTTTTTATTAAAAAAAAAAACTTTTTACTATTATAGAAGGGTTATAACAGAGCTTTATAATTATCTAGCAATATGTTAACAGAACAGCATAGCCTTGCCAAGTTTCTCTCCTCACTAAACAGACCTTTACTCATTTATCATTTCTCAAACAGCCACATAATACCCCTAATGAGTAAAATCCAAGCATACCTTAGGCAATACCATTAATATTACAAACCCGACCTTTCCCCTTTATATGGCTACCTCACATAGAATAGTTTAAATGTTGTTGCCTATGTTTCGTGGTTTTCATTTAATACACAGACAATTTTATGATGAAGTTTCAGATTCAAATGAAAACTTTACTTAATATCTACTTAACCCTAAATGCATGATTTTTATTTTTATATGCCCTAAATTTAAACGGGTAGTAAATTGAACATAGACCAAGGGAAAAATAAAAAAAAAATTTTTTTGGAATATGTATTGGGTGTGGAAGAGGAAACCGATGTAAAATGCATCATCATGCATTTAAGGGTTAACCCTTCACTTCCCTACTTCAATGCGAACTATTTATGTGGCTGTAATTTAATAGCGTATATAAAGAACTTATTTCATAAAAATCTAAACGTATAATTTCTCTGTTAGTATGTAAATAACGTTTTGTTATAGCTGCCTCTTAGAGGAGCGTGTAAACAGAATGAAATAGTTGTTATGCCAAGCCAATCCATTATTTAATTCAGCAACGGTAACACAAGCGAGGGGTTGGAGGCGAGAGGGTTGGGGTGTGAGGGTGTAACGGGACATGTGACATATTCACGCGGCACTCGGGGGTACTTACACTGGGTAGTGGCTGTGGCTACACGGTACCGTATGTTACAAGTAATGGAGTGCCCGCAAAAAGATGGCGGTGTAAGCTCTAAAATGTCGCATAAAACATAGAAGTTGCCGTATATAAAATAGTCTTCGGGGCCGAAATCATTTTCCAGAAGGTGCCTCTTTTACGACTTTCGTTTTAGTTAAATCAATTTCATGGTCGCTGTTTTATTCGAGTTTCTAGGTTTGTGCAGTTTTTACATTGCCATAGGGATTCTACTGCTGACATCAGACACATCATAGTGTTGTAATTGTTTTTTTATAAAACACTTAAGAGTGATGACAGTAATGTTTTTTTTCGAGTGTTTCGTCAATAGAAACCCACAGTTTACACTTCAGCCTTGATTGAGTCTTACCAGACAGTATAAGTGTTTATTACCTTTCAAAAATTTAATTTGAAGAGAATATTCATACGAATATAGGTTTTTCCTTGTTTAACACTCACAACTTGCGAGTTATGGGTGTTATCATCCGTTCTGATTCAGTGCCTTGTATAGTAATTGATAGTTCTGTAACCACTTGAGTGATGTATTAGTTTGTTTTAAAAGTGACATTTGTTGATATATGAGAACTACAACGCATGGAATATGTTGGATAAGCGACAAGTAGAACTGTTTACAAGTTTATAAAATCTTCTAGTTTTAATTCTCTATTATTCTTACCGACTTTAAACCAATTGGCGACAATATTTGAGCAACGATTTGACCCATCTTTTATCATCTAATAGTTTGTTACTTATTTCATATTTTGTTGTTCTAATTCTTTAGTTTGTAAGTACTGTCAACTTCAAGAGCTAAAGTAAACAATATTGAAAGAAAAGAATACTTTGTGGTTTCCTCTATTTAAATATGAAAGGATTGCTGCGGGCGGCGTACATCCCGTTTATTTTACGATCCTCTTTAAAAAGACTTGGAGCACATAAACGAAACTTATTACTTACAGGATGTTAGTAGACAATGCGAGTTAATGCAGACACCTCGAGAGAAATATAAATATATGCTACGCGATTAATTTGAGATTAGTCCTTTAATTAACACTGGAATTATTATTAGAGAAAAAAATATTTCTTTCCTTGGTGCGGATTGATTCTAAAAACAATTAGTACATCTTACACCATACTTCATGCTATAAGTAAGAAAGTTTAGATGGGTGAATGGATGTTTGCGGCTTAAACAGCTGAACGAATCTCGTTGGGATTTGGCATAGACGTAGAGAAGTCTGGATGTACTCATAGGCTACTTGCTTTTTTTTATACCACGCGAACGGCGCCGCGGGCAAAAGCCAGTAATGTATGTCATAAATATTTGTAAAACATTTTTCATTGTTTTCGAAAGTCTCTCATGAATGTGAATGTATCTGCATCGTGTATGAGTGTATTGATGAGCCGTTTATTACGTATTAGATTGTTGATATAAATAACATGTGCTGGTACTCTTTTAAAGTTATACAAAGCCTTTGAATGTTAAATAGATAGTTGATTGCATTACAAGAGAACATAGAACATAGTCTTTGTCATAGTCTTTTGATTAAGAAATGTTCATTGGGTTTTAAACTTATTTGGGAACGTCTTATAAAGTAAATCCGGATTTTTGGTTCCTTAAATTAATTTAGTTATCTTTTTCTAAAAGAATGCTTTGTAGTATCACATCAAAGGCCAAAGTTAAAGACTTAGGATAAAGTTTACATAAAAACTTCTAGAACAAAATATTAAAATTTTCTTTGGAAAATATTTGAAACATATTTTTCGTAACAATTAACAAATAACAACGAAAAATGTTTGTGATCCTTAAAAAAATTTACAGACAAAATTTTTTATACAACTTTAAAAACGGAAATTAGTAAATATTGTAATACATATTTGATGTGCTTTTTAAAGGTTTAATTTAAATATACCAAGTGAACGATAAAATGTACGTAATGATAAACCTCAACAATGCAATTAAAAATTAAAACCCCTTACGTGGGCTCAGGTGTTCTTCAGGCAATGCATTAATTAAGATTGCCGTAAAAACCTTAAACAAGGCATATAGCGGTGCACTAATTACCTTAGTTAAGTCATATTGTGTACGGTCCGGGGCCTCCACTCCACTCTCTATTCGTGCTATCTACCGGGTATCAACATTAGTAAACATTACTGAATGGCTTGTGTTGTGCAAAACGAATAGAATTTTAACCTACATTCCAGTCGGTACTACTCTTTGAAAGAGAATGCGGCTGGATATATCGAAATGAGGGAAAGAAGGAGGAATAAAAAAATATATATACTACTAATTGTTTTCGTGACTTTATCCACGTGAAAAGAAAATAACCTATGTTACTCAGCGATAACGTAGCTTTCTAACGGTGAAAGATTTTTTGAAATTCGCCGAGTAGTCTTTGAGTTTAATACATACAAAAATACAAATCTTTCATCTTTATAATATAAGTATAGTTTTACTTCTTATACAGTTTGCTACGTGTGAATAAATGAAATATTTATTTTAGGCGTGATCATAAAACGATCATCAGATGCAAAGATTCTAGTAAATATTTAATTCCATTCAATGGTTTAGAGATAAATACAGGATCATCATCTCCCCTGCCTTATCCTACTCCCGTAGGCTCAGCACACCGGGTTTTCGTCCTCCAAATAACTCTATCATCCGTCATCTCAGTCATCACTCCCTTCTTGATCATGTCACCTTTCACTCAATCCATCCATCTCTTTAAAAAAAATATAGAGTTTAGTTTTAGTTTAGAGATAAATACAGGATACAGGATACAGAGACAAAATTAATTATAGAATGTATTCACAACTAAATTGAACATAGCATAGAGAATTTAGGTACGATTCATAGATGTAAATCCAATCCAACCGCTTGTCTATAACGTGAATACGGATTCAATTAATGCACTTCCTCTCTCGGAGTGATTTTGGCAAAAGCGACGCAAACTCTGACCTAGCTAGGCGACACTCGAAACACAACGTTCACCAAGTTTCCTTTAACTTAACGTTCTCTGTGTCATGGAAACATTATCAATAGACTGAGTTCGCAGCCGACTTGTGCAAACATTTGCCGTGATTCGATATTGTCTTTATTAGTTCAGTCTTAGCCTTGTTATTTGTTAGTTATGTTATTGTAAGAAAGTTTATGTTGAATTTGATTCCTTTGACGTGGTAAATATTATATTTGTGTATAAATAGGAGTTGGAAATGAATTACATCTCTATTTATAAACGGTAACAATGATAACACAGTTAGCTATGAAATATAATTTGCAGGTGCTACATTTATTGTTATTACTTTAA